CTCCATTCCTCCTCCTCTCCTCTGGCTTCGGGAAGTGACTGTGGCGCTCGGTAAGAGACCTAGATGGTCCTTCTTCCCCCTCCCCCAAGCTTAGGTCTCCTTTAGCATCTCCTGTCTCCCCCGTGCCGAGAGTCTCCTTGGGTCGGTCTGGAGGCGAGACCTGCTCTGCAGCTGTGATGCTATCCTGGGTTCCCCAGTGGGGCTGGTGGGAGCCCGGAGGCGGCACCTCGGCAGGGAGGCACTGGGGTGAAACCTGGCTTGGGGAAGGGGGCTGCGACGAGGTGGTGTCTTTGCGGTTTGCTTCATTGTCAGTGAATTGTTTTGTTTCTCTTTGGAAGCAGGTCAGCATTGACCTTGCAAATTGCTTAGGGGGCCGGGCAGCTGCTGCAGAAAGCCACAGAGTGGCCCCGAGCCAGAACAGACAGCACTGTCATGACCCCCCAGACAGCCCTGGGCGCCAAGGATGGGGTAATGGCTGGAGCTTCCTCCCTCCTTTAACTCGTTCTCTGCAGCTGCATCTCACTGCTGGAAAAGAGAAAGGAAGGACCAGGCAGCCCCTTTCCCAATTTCCCCGTTCCCTTCCCTAGAGGCAAGTGAGCTGAAAGTTGTAAATGACTGCTTCCTTTGAAGCAGGTAGAGACCTCCTCCCTTCCTTTAAGAAGATTACTGTGGGGCTGGGCCCGAGTTCCTCCACAAACTTGGAAGGCTTTCCTGGCTTCTCTGAGGGAAGCCCGACGACTGCTTACCTCAGTCACAGGTAGTGGAGCTGACCACCTCGCCTAGCCCAGGCATTCAGATAGCCCATCCCCTTCCACTGGTGGGCACCCTGTTAGGTCTAGGGGTGTCCTTGGGAGGGAGAAAACACCTGCCTGACAGTGTGTGAGAGCCAGCTTCCCAGTTTTCTGCTTCTCTGTCTGGGGCTGCGGGTGGCATAGGCAGAAGGAGGGGGAGGGGCAGCTGTCGGGTGTGGAGAGAACAGGGATGTTGGAATGTGTTGGGGTCCACAGGTTCTGATGGTCTGGAGCTACCACAAGGGCTGTCTGAGCTGCTGTGGCCCTTGTGACCCAATAGGGGAAGGGATGTGGCTGCTTGACAGGGGCTTCATGAGTTAGTGGCACTGCCATGCCTGCTACAGTAATGAGAGCATCAATAATACTGATGCTAACATTTTTGAGTATTTAATATGTGTTGGATCTTGGGCTGAGAGTTTAATGTGTATTATCTCACAGAATTTTTTACATCGACGTTAGGAAAGCAGACATTATGATCATCCTTGGTTTATTGATGAGGAAACTGAGGCACAGTGAGGTTAAGTAATATGTTCGGGGTTACAGAGTAATACATGTCTCAATTGAGAATTAAAACACAAGAGACCTGATTCCAGAACCCCCGGCCTTACCCATCAAGTCCTGCTGACTCCTTGGAGAGAATTTTGCACCTTTTTTTAAAATAGGCAAGCATAGGTACACTAGGAATGTTGTTGCTTGGTAAGATTTTTTGGAAATTGATGATCTGGCCTTCGTGCAGGGCAACAGGAACTTGGAGGTAGGTGGCTGGCTTTTGCGGAGGCAAACCTCACATGAGCTTTTTAGAGGGGCTTCCCAGAACACTTCCCCTGGCCATTTCTGTTGGAAATAATGTCTGGGAAAATGTAGCTTTTCCGTTGTCTTAGCCACATCTGTCCCATATCCAAGGGGATACCTTTTAGAAACAGCTTTTGCCTTTGTTTCCTGAGAGCTTGGAGTCAAGCTGTACTGAAAATTTAATAATACTAGAAGCTTGGAAGGATCTAAAAGTCATTAAGCTTTACTTTTCTACCCAGTTCTGGAATTTTTCCTAAACATCCAATTTGTTGACTGATTTCTATTTGAATTCCCTGCAGTGACAGAGAGCTCATTAGGTGGCTCTTTGCGTCTGTGTGCAACTTTGATTATCAGAATGTAATCTCCATTATAAGCCAAAATCTGTCTCCCTGGAACTTCTACTCATTGGTTCTTTGGGACTGTCTAGAGCAGATTTGCTTTTTTTTTTTTTAAGAACAGTTCTTCAGCTCGTGGGGATAGCAATCCTGTCCCCACCCTCGAGCCTCAGGTCTGACAAGATCACAAAGTGGAGGATCATTCTTTATTTACTTTGGACACTAGAGTTTTAGTATTATGGTGTTAATATCTCACTTGTTTGTCAGCTGCAGACTGATGTTACTGAGATTTGCAAAGCAGCCCTGATAAAATATGTTCTCCTCTTTGGAAGCGCTTGGTATGTGATGTCACCTAACTTCTGGAAACAAAAAAGGTCTCCTTTGTATTCCTAAAGCTTAGGAATCAGTTGGTGCCAGTCCTTCTGTTGCCCCAGAATGTCCATGTGGTAGCCAGACCACAGGTGCGTTGGAATAGTTCAGAGGCCATGGCGACAGGCAATATGATAAAGAAGAACTGTGGGGGGGGCGCTCAAGGTTCATAAGGACATGGATAGTAGAAGGAAAACCTGTTTCATCAGAAAGCATTTCAGAAACAGAGGCGTCACGGAGTAAGTGGGAAGCAGTGGGACTGGGTGGTGAAGGAGAGAGCAGGCAGTGTACCAGAGCCTGGGCGTGAGCAAACCTGGTTTGATTCCTGGCATTACTTTGTACACTTGACTTCCCTACCATGAGCCTCAGCTTTTCCATCTGTAAAATGATGAGACAGACTGTATCTTCAAAGGTCTGCAGTTCTGAAAGTATCTATCTGAAGTCAATCAGAAAGTCTCAGGGTTATCCTGGGCTTTAGAAATCATCTGAGACAGTACCACTCCATCTTCAGTGTTCACATGTAGCCCTTGGAATATTGGTAAAATGCTTATTCTGACTTGGGGGTCTCAGGTAGGACCACAGCATTTGCACTTTACCAAGATGCCAAATGATCCTCCAACTGCCTGGCACAGACTCCTCAAGCAGCACAGCTCTAATGTAGTGCTTGTTGAACTGTCTTGGCGAAGGGCTAGTCCCTGACCCCCAGTTGGGACAGACTTACTTTAGTGAAATATATTAACTACAAATTACTAGAAGATGAAAAAAAAGACACACAAAACACAGGCCCACATTTTTATTTGTAAAACCACCAGACACCAAGTGACTTTTCAAATTGCTGTAACATCTTCTGGGTTCTTACTTTCAATTTATTCACTTAGGTCTTACTGCTCAGTAATAAAAGCTTGTAGATAGAGACTGGTCTGCAGACCACACTGCAAGCAACCCTGATGTAGGTCAATTGCCTATCTGATTTCAGAGGCCCAAATTAGGTCCAGCCTAATTTCTAAATTACCTCTGCTGGGTTGTCTTTCATTCTCACAACATATTATCTCACTTAATGGAGAACTTAACATCATTATATAATAATATTTTTCAGATGTCATGATTGCCAAGTTTTTTTCTTGAAACTTAGTATTTGTTAAAGGTAGGAAGGTACAGTGGGAAGGAGAAGAAATAGAAAAACAGCTAGAGATCTAGGAGGATGAGATCCATCCCATTAATGAGAGGCAATGGACTTTAAGGAGATCCAAGCCAATTCCTGGAAATTACGTTTGAGCTGAGCTTTGAGATCACACAAACTGGCTATGCAGAGTTGAGGAATGGCAATGACAGTTTGGACAGAGGCCATTTGTGTATGATAAAATCCAGTGTGTGAGAAGTGTTTGGCAAGACAGGTGGAGAATTTGACTGAGTAATATCCGCTGTTTGCTGGGAAACACAGGACTACATGTACGCAAAGGAGATGGAGTGCCATCCTTTTATGAGTGAACAGATTGTGTCATTTCATGATAGAGTGAGTGGCTTGATTTGTCCACGTTCACACAAGGGGACTAAGGTAAAACTGTGGAAAGTGAAGACTACAAGAGAGAAGAGTCAGAGATGTGGAAGGAAAATTAGAAGAGTACAGCATGAAAAGTGCCAAGATTGGAGAGGTCTCATCCATTTGTTGGACACGTATTTATTGAATAAATCCATTTTTGTACTCGTGGGGAATGCAATAGTGAACAGGATAGATATGGTTTTTGCCATCTCTGAGCTCATGGCTTAGATGGAGAGATGGACATTACTTTACCAACCACTTATCTATACAAACACAAAGTGTGATTCCTGTGTAGAGGAAAACATGCTGCTTTAAGAAGAAAGGTGTGGTCACCATTACTGGATTTTGCAGCAGAGTTGAATACTGGCAGACACGGAAGTCACAGTGCTTAGTGACAGTTTAGATGGATGATGCGCATCCATTTTGCAGATGTTTGCCAGGTGATCATGTGCAAGTAGTGAGGCTTATTTGAAACCAGGTGGTATGCCATTAGCTCACCTGAAACTCACAGATCCCGCCACTCTCTCCATTCAGTAACCTGTAGCTTCCATAACTGTAAAGTGATGGGGATTGGACTAGGGCTTAGATGATTTATAAAGTCCTTCCTAGATGTAAGGCTCTGTAGTTTGTGCTCTACTCTAGACTACGTTCGCATCATCCTGTGCAGGTAGTTCAAGTTCAGTCAATTATTTAAGCAGCAGTAAGGACTTCATACAGATTTCTGAAAGCTGCTAAC